GGGAGGGTAGCTGGGGAGGGTTGTGGCATACATGGAGGGGGAGGGTTTGCCCACAGCTGCCCTGCCTCTCCCCTGCTCCCCTGTAACAGGCAGAGACCCCACTCCTCCAAGCCTCAGCTCCATGCTCCTGCTGCTTCTGGCCCCAGGGCACCAGCTGAGGTCCTGTGCTCCTGCTCACCACCACTTCCCCCTCCCATCTGCCGCTGCTACCCTTCTCATGCTGCCACCCCATTTCCTCCACCCCCACTTGCTGCTCTGGCACCACATACCAGCTGCATGGCCAAGACCGCAGGACGCAGCAGGAACCAGAATAACCTGCCTGGCACCGCACAGAGCCAGCTGAAAATCCCAGGGGCAAGGCCAGTTCCTGCTTAGTCCTGCAGCCTGGTACTGCAGCTGGGAACCACCTGGTGCCAGAGCGGCAGCAGCTGTGGGCAGGAAAGCAGGGAAATGGCTGAGGCAGGCTGTGGGGACATAGAGCACACAGAGCGCAGCAACAGCTGGACAGGCAGGAAAGGAGGGAGCCAGCCTGACTCCATAGATCCCTTGCCAGCCCAGGCCCCATGCTCCTGCTACCCTGCTCTGGGCCCCTGTTGACGCTGGCCCTGGCACACGGGTGTAGGCCCTGCGCTCCTTCCCAGCTGTTCCTGCGCTCCACACACCTACTCACTGCCCCTTCTCCCTGCCTTCCACAGCCATTTCCCCACTCCCCCCACTGGCCGCCAGTTGCTCTGGCACCACATGATTACTGGCTCCAGTGCCTTGACTACAGGAGCCAGCCCAGCTCAGCCCTGAGGACTGGGGCGATCGTCCATGATCCTCTCCCACCTCCCTCCCCCCACCTCCTTCTTATCTGAATTTCCCTGTGGCACAGGGAGGCAGGAACAGCCCTAGGGTCCCAGGCCAGAAGTGTCTGCTAAGCAGAGGCTTCTGGCTGGAGGTGTGGAGGGGAACTGGGGCGGGGCATGGTCATGCCTACCTTCTTGCTGCTGGCTCTCCATGGGTTCTACTGCTGCTGGCTCCTGGTGTCTTTTGACAGGTAGCCAGGGGCAGATAAATACTAATTTTCTAAATGTTTTAGGGGCCCTGCGGGCTGGATAGAATGGCCTGGTGGTCCTAATCTGGCTCACAGGCCATATTTGCCTGCCTCTGGGTTAAGCCTACATTTTTCCACGAGTCTAGAATTGTTTTCATAGTTTCATAGTTTCATAGATTAAGGGTCGGAAG